TTTTACTGTTTGTGAACCGCTGTGAGTCGCCTTCGGGCTTGAGATACAGCGGTATATAAGCAAAGTAATTAATTAATTAATTAATTAATTAATAATAATAATAATAATGAAATCCCACATATATACCTTGTGTGCTGTGTCATACTGTGTTTTTGTGTCAGGATGATAATAATAACAACAACAACAACAATAATAGAGTAAAATAATGGAAATGTAATAACGGTAATAACAGAGTAAAATTATAAATGCAGTAACAATAAAAATAAAGTAAAATAATAAATGTAATAATAATAAAGAGTAAATAAATAATACTAATAATAGAGTAAAATAATAAATGTAAGAAAATAATAATAATGTAAACATCATAATAATTAATATACTAAAATAATTCATGTAATAAAATGATACTAATAACAAAGTAAAATAATAAATAACCTTGACTTGAGTATAAGCCGAGGGGAACTTTCTCAGCCTAAAAAGGGGGCTGAAAAACTAGGCTTATACTCGAGTATATACAGTAAATATACCAATTGAAGAATGGTATAAAGAACTAGGGAAACTAGCAATAAACGCTAAATTGACATGTAGGTTAAGAGTCAGGAAAGGGGTATGGAAGAAAAATGACTTTGATGAAATTTGGGGAAAATTTATTGAGAATGGCTTAAAAGAAGTAGATGGGAAATCACCTCCACAAGAAAAAATAGTATTTTGGAAAGAAAATGTAAATTGAAGTGGTTCGGAAGGGGGGGGGGGCACAGAGGTGAACAAAAAAAAGTATGCAAGATATATATATACACATATAGTTGATGTAATGAATTGAGTATTGAATATAACAGTATTGAAGGTATTGATGTATTTTAAGAAAACCAATAAAATAAATTTAAAAAAGAGAAAATTTCTATTGTTAAATTTTCTGTGATCTCAACATTGAGCGAAAGGGACCCCATTTGGGATCGGGACCCACAGTTTAAGAAACAGTGGAACAGATGACCTTTGTGATCTCTTCCAGCTCTACAGTATTTTTCGAATTTTATTAATTTTATATAGATTACAATGAAAGAGTGAGAACAATAAAGTATAAGGAAGTGAGGAAATGAAGAAAAAAAAGAAAAAAGAAGAAGCAAAAAGTATGCTAAAATCCCAAATAACCCCTAAAATTTTTTAAAATAAAATAAAAAATAACTACAAAAATACACAAAACACACAAAAAAAAGAGAAAAGAAAAACAAAAAA